GAGGAAGAGGTCAGAAGAAATGCTGTCCCACCCACATTCGGAGCATGCAGCCAAACTTCAAGGAGCCCAAACACCCTGTTTGTGTGTGTTGGCTGCTGTTTTGAAATTAAGTATTTTTTCTTTAATCCTCATGAAGGATATGTTTATAGATTTTATTGCTTTTAGAGAGTGAGGAAGGGAGAGAGAGAGGAAAAAAGACATCGATGTGAGAAACACTGAGCAGTTGCCTCATGTATGCACCCCGACATGGGATCAAACCTGAAACCTAGGTACGTGCCCTGCCCAAGAATGGAACCCGAAACCTCTTGCACAGGGCGATGCTCCCACCGACCAAGCCACCCAGCCAGGGCTGTAGGTAAGGTTTGCTGACTGGCCGTCACAAACCTGGTACAAGTTTAGGAAAGAGATAAAGGCTAAGCCCTTGGAAGTTTTAATAGAACCAGTCTATAACATCATAAAGAAGAAAATAATTTAATTTCACTCTTGAGGCCAACCAACCTAAACTAGAAACTATTTTTATTTCCTCATGCTTCCTTATAGTCTTTATTTTTCTACAAGTGTATCATTTTCTTTTTTTTTGCACAGTCATCATTTTATCCACTAACTATTCCTCTGGCTTTAGATGTTCATGCTGCTCCTCAATTTTTCACTGTTACAAACAACACTCTATAAACACTTTGTGTAGTTACTTTTTTTTTTTTTTTTATCATTTCAGAGCCAAAGTCGAGAGAATAAGTATGAGAGGTTTCTGGTAACTGATTTTTCTCTCTTCCAAATCTTCAGCAAGAGACTCTACCTGTCTCTCATCCTCTCTATAGGCACAACCTCTCTACAGTTTACTTAAGGTCATCTGCGTAAGTCCAACTCCAGTCTCTAGAATGAATCCTGACCCTTAAGAGGGGTCATTTAAGCATCTCCAGACCAATAGTCACTGACAAAACAAATATATATTGAGCATCAACCATGCAACAAGCAAAATACTAAAGAGGGCCCCTCCCAGGCAAATTGATGAATTTCTTAAGGTAGAGAATATTTTCTAAGCTTTAATCTGTGATTATGTACATTTAGCTAATGATCAAACCTTATCCCCAAGACAAAGTTTTGGGAAAATAAGCCAAAGACTAATGAGGCACTCTTTTCTGATCAAATAGCTTCGAGGGACAAAGACAAGAGACAGATTCTTCTTCAAAGGACAAGAGCTACGGGAGTGAAGGGTGATGCAAAGGATCATCCAAAATATCTGAGCCCTGGTCATATGTGGGCCTAACGTGCCTATCCTGTGCTAAGAAGTCACCCTTTGACCTGGTCTTTCTCCTCTAGCTCTTGCTAGGGAAGAGAAGTTGAGACCCATGCAGCTGAGTGAGGACTAGGAATGGGAGGCTACAAGAAGCAGTTTCATTGAACCCCACTGTTATCGCACTTGGGATCATCTCTGTGAAGACTAGTCCAGCAGAGGTTTTTGCAGCTGCCATTAATGAGAGAGCATCAATTCCTGCTGATGCAGCTGGTCCCCAAGCCAGAATTGATATCCATCACCTCCATTTAACACCCAGCAGTACGGTATTGTCATTACTGCTTTATACAATCTTGTAAATTTTAGAAATGCTGAAAAATGAGGAAATATATTCACATATTAAGTTACATGTTTTGCCATTTCTAGTACTCTTCATTTCTTCCTTCAGATTAGAGTTATCATCTACTGTCCAGGGTTAAGGTTTCAGGTTAGGGTTAAGGTTGGGACACCACACAGTGTCAGTGTTATCTGGAGCTGCCACTGCTCATGGGCTAAGACTGTTTGGAAGAAGCCCCTTTTGCAGCAGGAAAAAGCAAAACCAATATGCAAAATGAAGCAAAACTGAGAAAGAGCAAGGACACACTGATGGTGATGTTTGTGTTCCTGGGTCCTGACATGCCTGAAGTCTAATGACCAATTAGCAAAGAAGTACAAATTAAGCAAAGAGGAACAAAATTTTTAAAGATGACACTTCACTTTAACCCAGATTTCCTAAATTTAATAATTTTTGCAGTACTCAGTACCAGCCAAATGTAAGGAAACACACACCTAAGTAGACGGATTGAAACAACTTTCGAGGAAGGCAACGTAGTAATACACGCCAACACTTCAAGTACAAAATAACTTGACTTATCATTTATACTCCTATAAACTCATTCTGTAGGAAAAAGTTCTCAGAAATGCAAATATACAAGGATTTTCATTGAGATGTTTTCTACAAGAGAAGAGTCAGAGGTAACCTGTTTATTAATACTGTAGAAACAAAAGATTACAAGTCTAACACTGCAAGATTAAAAAGTCTCCTTTGTCTTTTCCTTTCTATGCTATAAGTTTTAGTATAGACTGTTGCTCTGGGGCCTGTTCTTTACTTTGGGAGCTAAGTTGCAATTCTAATACTCAGTTCTTGAAAAGGCTGGCTTTTCTAGTGATTACGCCTGAAACAAACCTCAGAAAAGGAGAAAAATGTTCCTTGTTCCTGGTAGTTGCAGAAAAGCAGAAGTTGTTCTGTGTCATGAAGTCAGCTTTGATAGGCTGGAAGCAGTCAAAAAATTATGTGTCTTACTGTCTTATCTTGTGAAGAGACTTGCTTTTCCATATTTAACTCAAATCATTAATAAAACTCTTACTCTCTTACCTGTGAAGATACTTGTTTTTTTGATATTTAACTAAAATTATTCTCTTCTGTATACTGTTTTACAAATGAGTTTTTTAAAGACATACAGATTTCAGCCCTGGCTGGTATGGTTTCAATGGGTTGAGCACCAGCCTGTGAACCCAAAGGTCGCAGGGTCAATTCCCAGTCAGGGTACACACCTGGGTTGAAGGACAGACCCCTCGTGGTTGGGGCTGTGCGAGACATAACCAACCAATGTGTCTCTCATATCAATGTTTCTATCCCTATTTCTCCCTCCTTTTCCCTCTCTCTTAAAAAAAATAAAATCTTTTTTAAAAGATGACATATGGATTTTCAGAGAGTGACCATAATTCCTGTGAAACATGATTATTAATCTTAAAAGGCTTTGATCCTAACTGCATGTATTCATGCTATTTAGATGATCAGTGTCTCATAAGGCATGTGCACTGGCCAGTCAGATGGACAGTCACTGTGAACAGCTGGTAGTGCCAGAGCAGAGAAAGGAGGCTGAGGACGAGCCTTGCAGTTGCTTGTTAAATGTGTGTCCCTCGTATTAAACTGGATACCAGTGTCTCTCTAGGGTCTCTGTTCATTCATTGAAGGAGGATGGACCTTCCCTCCTCCTCATCCATTCACAAAATCGTAATTCATACTTGTGGCTCTGATGCATTTCTGATTCAAACTATGAATTTGAACAAGTCTGTCTCACTTGAAACAAAGAATTTTTTTAGGTTTTTCATTTCATAGAGCTTTTTTCAATTCCCAGCAAAACTAAGAGGAAAACACAGAGTTTACCATAGGCTCCTGCCCCCACACCGGTGCAGGCTTCCCTGTTACCAGCATTCCCCACTGGAGCAGCACATGGGCTACAACCGATAAACCTACGTTGACACGGCGTTATCACCCAAAGTCCGTAGTTTACATTCAAGTTTTCTCTTGGTGTTGTACATTCTATGGGTTTGGACAAACGTATAATGACACGGATGCTTCATTTTAGTGTCACACAGAACAATTTCACTGCCCTAAAAATCCTCTGTGTTCTGCCTATTCACCTGCCATCCTACAACCCCTACCTCTGGCAACCCCTGATCTTTCCACCATCCTCATAGTCCTTCTTTTTCCAGAATGTCATACAGCGTGGAGGCTTTTCACATTGGCTTCTTTCATTCGTTGTATGCATTTAAATTTCCTCCACGTCTTTCCTGACTTGAGAGCTCTTTTTTAATAAATGAATTATAAATAAAGTTATGTCTATTATAAATAAAGCTGCTGTAAACACCCATGCACAGGTTTTTGGGGGGGGAAGTTTAAAAAAACTACCCTCCATTTCTTTCAAGTCTGATCTGAAACTGAAAGTACATCTCTCCCCAAAATAAAAGGGCCAGAGCACTGTCTCTTAGGCACGTTTGTCAGAGACGGACCAGGACAGAATTACTAAGGATCTGCAGGAAATCAGGTACCTGATAACTCAGTTCTGACCTCTGAGTGCGTGGACCAGGAAGGGCTCTGAGGACAGCCTAGTGTTTGGATGGGACTGGGAGAGGGTCTGAACCTGGGGCGATTGCTGTACTGGGGGTTCTATCAAGAGCCAAAGCCACAAAGCCAGTTGGGTGTCAGAAATATTCCAGGTAGGGAGGTGAGGTCAGACATGGCAAAAAGGAAAAGCTATTGAAGGACAGACATGCCATCTCTCCATCCCCCTTAAACCTAAAAACTTAATCTTGGATTGTGCGATTTTATGACCCAGGACCTCAAGGCAGTGCCGTTGGTCCCTATGGAAAAGGGTGCTCTCCCCACCTGTGGGTAGTCAAGCTGAGATCTTCAGGCCACTTTCCCACACCAACGTCTATGTCTCCTTCCAAACAAGAAGCCCCGGAAGCTCCCATGCATTGTAGTCTCCCTGGTCACAGTGAAAATTGACAACGCCGAGAAGTGTTCAGAAGGATTGACTTAAGTTTGAGATCCATGTTAACAAAACTTTAACAAGAGCTTTTTTTGGAACACGAACAAAAAAAAAGGCATTTGTGAAAGGACTCATGGTATTTCTCTAAGGGGGAGTAAAATGTCAGGGGCTGGGAAGTATTTGCCAAAATGTGACCTGTTTTCTCTTGGCCGTTTGAGTGTCATGCACCTCTGCCTCCGACCTGTACCAGTCACGTCCTTACCCGCTCCCTACTGAAGGCCAGAGGTCAGCACGTAGAGCCCAGACAGAAATCCTAGGTAGCTGTGCAGAAAGCAGTGTAATAGGATCCTGGGTCTCTGGGTTTGAAGCTATCAACATGCAGTGAGACTGGGGTTCACACCTCACTTTCATTATCTTATATTTATTTGCAGTTACTTTTGAACCTGGAGATGACCTCTCTTCTAGCCACAGCAGTTCGATTTTTAATCCTAACCCACTGGTTAACACAATGGGTAATGTATATCACCCTCTCCCACTCACATCCTGTTGATCTTGGTTTCCCCTCACATCTCTGAAACTGTAGAGCTCCCACACTGGAGTCTGAGACTAAAGCCACTTAGAGACAATATAGGTGAAAATATTTTTTAAAATATCAGGCAACAAAACAGAGTTACTAAGACTAATTTTCTCTTTTTACACTACTCATAGTATAATAATACTGTCTTCATGTGTGTATCATATATGAGTCCTCTGACAGGAACATGTCAAATCTCATGCTGAGCAGGAAGTCCATGGTGTGGGCTCTGGGCAGCATCCAGGACATGTGAATGGGTCAAGGGACACTCTCTCTTCTCTGCAGGTGATGGCCGGCCAGGCAGGGCGAAGTAATCCTTGTAAACTAGACATGGCTTACAATGCATTTGATGATCAGTACAAGGGCTGTATAGAACTCATGGACAAAAAAGCACCCCAGCTGTTAAAACAAGAACTGGAAGTGAATAAAAAATTTAAAGAGAAATGGGAAAATGCACAGAGAAGATGGAAGGAAATAAAGTCACGTGTAGGCTCTTCAAAATTACTCAGTGATCTCCAGGGAACAGCTCTAGTGGCCTATACTGGGGAAATTGCAACAGAATTTAACAAAGCTGTGAGAGAATTCCGTCAACACCCTGAAAACTTTCAGTTCAAAGCGTTCCACTATTATTTGACAAGAGCTCTTCAGCTTCTGAGGACAAATGAGTGCCGTACAGTTTACAGAGGTATTACGATCAAGTGTCAACACAGTGGAGGAAAAGTACGTTTTGGCCAGTTTGCCTCATCATCTAAAGATATAAATGTAGCTAAACGTTATATTAAAAATGGGACAGGGACACTGTTCACAATCAAAACCTGCTTGGGTGTGCCTATTAAATCATTCGCTTTCAATCCCAATGAAGACGAAGTGCTAATTCCAGGCTACGAGGTGTTTAGGCAGGTCACCGTGAAAAACATAAATACATCATATAATGAAGTTTCACTCGAAAACCCCCAAGAATTAACAAGTAACTACGATTGCACCTACAGCTCAGGTGAGTCTGGGGCTGTGCTCCAGGTGGGAGTGGTGGGACCCTCGTGAATAGAACAGGGAGAGCTCTGCTACCAGCAGCCGCAGGGCAGAGAACAATGGGGCCTTCAATTAATTGCTGAAGAGTTTTAGGTTCCTAAAACCATAGGGCTGATATCCTGGAACAAAGAGAAGCTCAGGCAGTTTCTAGTCCAACGATGCTCTCAAATTCCCTGCTGTGCAAAAACGTCAGAAGGTAAAGGTGGGCACCAGACAAAATGAATTAAGGAAGCTTTGATATGTCAAGAGCTATAGGAGAGGTTTAGGGGACTTGGGAGACCTGGTCCAGGCAGAACAGTGTGGCCACTGCAGGAATCCTGCCAGGAGGTGAGGGTGCCCGAACTGGGGAGGTCACCACGGTGATAGAGGAAGGTTAGGGAACTGCGTTTTTCTATGAGGTGTTTGTTCTAGGAGAAAGAGAGGGAAAGCGAAGTGCAATGGGACTATGGTTAGAAAATCAGATGGTGGACCTGGAGGTTTCCAGTGTGGGTAGTTGACAGGTTCTGAAATGGTTGAAGGACATTTCCACTGAAGCCACTGGCTGGATTGCAGAGCAGGTGAATGGGGTTGGAGCTGAGGAGATCAAAGGACTGAAAGGCTTCACACAAATGGGCCCCTTTAGACACATGCAGAGGGATGATGCCTAGACTGATGAAGGCTGGAGATGGTGAAAGCAGAGAACACACACCTCAGTGAGGGCATAGCAGTGACGGCTGGGAACAGTCATGGAGGAAGGCTATGACCTGCCCAGCCCTGTGATGGGTGCGAAAGTGCCATCAGGAGCCGCCTCCTCTTTACTCACCTCTCCCAAGGTGACCTGGCTCTCAGGTTCTGTGCATTTACACCTATCATTCCTTCAGGCCCGAAGGCTCTGTCTTCATGCTATGTTTCATCCAATCTAAGACACTATCAATTTGATAAAGTAATTATCTTTCAAGACCCAGCTCAAATATTACTTCTAATCATAAGCCTTCTTTGATACTTCCTGGCAAAATTAAACATTACACTATGCTTCATGCCACCAGCTTTGGGTTAGACAACCTCAGTGGTAACCCAGGCTCACCCACCATTAGTTCTGTGAATTTGGAAAAGTTACCTGAGTAATCTGTCCCAATTGACTCATTTGTAAAATAAGGATACAAATAGCAATATTTCAGTACTATGTCTGTGAGAATTTCAAAAGTTCTTTTTTTATTGCCTGGCACATAAACCAAATTTTGTTTAGCTTTCCTTGTTCATTTCCCATGGAGAACCTTGTATTATCTAAGACATACTCTCACCATCTCTATGATAATAATTTGTTCACACTCTGGTCACCTCTTTAATGCCAGACACTTTGCCTTCCTGTGCCCTCTGCACCCAGTGCCTGTCATTAATGCCTGGCTCGAATCAGGGCTCCCACATCTGTGACTGAAGTAAGTTGAGTTTTGTTGAGATGCCAGGCTCCAGCCAGAAGTGGATCTGAGTGGCAGAGGAACCGAGTGACCAGCCAGCGTCAACCAAATCAGTCTTTATGCTCTGAAAGAATGCTGGAAACAAGAGAAATGTTTGGGGCAGAAACGGGACCACAGCCAGTGATTACTGGGGGACTCTGAGCTTTTTACATGCAGAAATTTTGAATTTGGATCAAGCCTAATAAAAACAGGGTATCCAGGTGAACAACGCAGCAGAGGAAAGCTGCTGCCCCCCACCTCAGCCAGGCTGAGCTGAGAACCCCAAGGGAGGAACCAGATCCCACCCAGAGACAGGACTCCAGATAACACTGGCTGGTGGAGAACCGAGTATACATGTTGCTGTAAAGATGAACGTCCATGAGGTCCAGACCCAGAAACAGACTCCTAGGTGGTCAAAGAGCACAGGGGCCGGGGAGCGGAGGCCCCAGGCGAAGAAGCCTGTCTTACTGAGGCACCTGGAGCTGGAAGCACAGGCGCATGGGGGGTGTCGATGGGAGGGGCTGCGGAGGCCATGGCCTGAGAGCTCAGTCCACTCAAGGTGACCTTAAAACCAGAGACCCAAAAGGATGTGTCCTCACAGTGCACTCTGTCTCTGAAAGGCAAAGGAGTCTAACTGCAGGCCCTGTGCAGGGAGCCCTAGAGCCCACCCTCTTGGTGTTTTGGTTCTTGGGTAAAGCTTGAAATGTTTTAAAGTCTTAAAAATCTTAAAGAAACCTTTGCTTCTCTTCCTTCACTGTAGGAATGAAAGAAAGTCCAGCGTTCAGTCTGCTACTGCCCAGTCTCCTAGGCCTGCTGCTCCCCCTCGCTGGGCTGTAACTTTCCCCCGCCTGGGGCCCGGTCCTGCGTGGGGTGTTGGGGAGGGAGGGATGCAGGATGGTTTGTGGCTTACACTAGTGCTCACGTCCCCCAAGACGCCTAACAGATCTACTGGGTCTGACCTCTAAAGAGTGCTTTCTGACCTAAAGTTACTACTTGAGATAACTTTCTATTTTCTTGATACTTCACTGTGATTAAAAAGCAAAGCCTTTATGCACTTTACGCAGTGTCAGCCTTTAGAATGCCATTTCATTGTGATGAATGTTATAAGCTAAAGAAATAAACCATCTATAATCACACCAAGCTCTTCTGTGACTAGTTATTTCTACAGGTTGCATTATTTGCCCGAGACATTCTCCCAAGGCCTTGGTGTGATGGTGACGTGTTCACTGTGGAGAAAGGCCATCCTTTGTACTTCTCACAAATGTCCTCATAGCCCCCTCACTGGCTGAGCCAGAAACACACGGGCCGTGTTAGGTAGAGAATTCCTTCTCCCTACACCACCCCACCAAGCTCTGTTAATTCACTTTAATAATAGCTCCCTATTGGTTGGGGAGGTATTTCTGAAATAAGACCATAAGGCATAAAGTATAAAGAAAAATTGTTTTGACACAGTAGTAACAGTATAGTTCTAATGTATTGGGTGCTTACTGTTGTCAGTATAAGAAGTGTCCAAACTTGTAAGAATTTTACGAGTTTATTTGAGCCAAACAGATGACAGTGTCGGGAAGCAAAGTCTCCACCAATTGAGAAAATGCTCTGGAAAGTGGCAGTTTTACCACTTATTTTATGCATCGGAATCAGAGAGGAAGAGGTAAGGGGTCACATGAAATCCACTGATGGTAGGTTAGGGAGGCAGGAGAAAGCAAAGCGGGGAAACCTCTGGGACTGGATGAAAAGTAAAAGGAATAGACACATGCTTCTATTTCATGGGCAGGCACAGAACAGTTAACGGTTAGCACCTGACGTGATACCACAACGTTGAGGGGATCTGTGGTCTCTAGTCTGGTGCTGTGGTTGTGCCCTGAGGGGTCTGGAAGAAAAAGAAACCACATTGCTACTCCACAGTTCTGTTATCAGGTATGCTACTGTAGGTACAAAAAGACAACAGGCAAAGACTGAGCTTTGTTAGGGGAAAAATACCACCCTTGGACTTCACTGCCTGCTTTGACCTGTTTTAGTTAGAAAGTTTTAAATTCGGGCCATCCTATGTGGTTATTTTAGGTCTCTGAGTTTTTAAGGGTTCCATGCAGGCCTCCCCTGAGCATATCACAGTTAGTATCCTGTTCATACTATGTATCAGGCACTCATTATTCTAAGCACTTCATATGTTTAGTCATTTAGTCTTCATATTAACCTTAGGAGATGAGTTCTACTATTTTCCAATTTTACAGTCAAAGTACTGAAGTTATGTAATTTGCTGTCAAGGAAAAACAGAAGAAGCAAGGATGCTCTGGCTCATGTGGCTCAGTGGACTGAGTGCTGGCCTGTGAAGCAAAGGGTCGCCGGTTCGATTCCCAGTCAGGGCACACGCCTGGGTTGTGGGCCAGGTCCCCAGTAGGGGGCGCATGAGAGACAACCACACTCTGGGGTGGGGGGTGGAGAGAAGCAAGGGAAGGAAATACACCAGGGAAGGGGGCAGTGAAGTGTTGGCAGTGAAACTGTTACAGAACAGACCTGGGGTGGAGGGGCGGAACGATACAGAAGACCCCCTTTTTCTCTGGGGGTTCCTTCCCTGTACCAGGTTTGCTTTGCCTGCCGCCAGAGGAAAGACATCTCTTAATGCCAGTGATTGGTGAAAAGGAAAGGAATTATTATTTAAAAGTTATACAGACTAGGCTGGGTGGGTGGGCTGGGATGGGAGTAAAAGATGAAAACTATACCTCAACAACAATTTTAAAAAAAGTTATACAGACTAAAGTTCTTTAGAATACCCACAAACACACAGTCCTTCCTTCTCTCTCTACCCAGTCTGGAGTACCGTATCTCAGGAAAGAAGCAGAAGTCCATGATTCAGGCTGCCAGCACCATCCATGTGACAAAAAGAGAGCACTTCCAAAGCCGCGTGGCCCCCCAAAAGATGCACAGTCTCAAAAAGACCCCAAATGGTTGCCGCGCCTGGGTTTGAATCCCAGCGCCAGTCCTCCTCTGCAGCCTCATTTCCGGCTCCTCCCGCAATTGGCCACAGCTGCCAGCATTCCGGGCTGGAGTGAGCCTGTGGTGTGGAGCCAATTATCAACAAGCTCTTTTGGACCCTGTTACAAATCCCTATTTGGGGCTCCCCTCTTGGCTGCACCATTACAAAAACTCACACTCCTGATAGGGCAGAGTCCATAGTTCTGCACATAGTTGGTTACAACAAATCCTAACTACTTTGCCAGTTAAAATCTGGCGTACAGGTGTTACTTGGGGGACCAGGATTAGGGGACTCTCCCTCCTCAGTTCTTGTCTCACTCGAAAGAGATGAATGCAGGCAAGAGACAACATGTATAGTAGAAACAAGATAGATAGCAAGATTATTTTAGAAATATACTTGAGCCCTGGCTGGTGTGGCTCAGTGGGTTGAACGCGAGCCTGCCAACCAAAGGGTCTCTGGTTTGGTTCTCAGCTGGGGTATATGCCTGGGTTGTGGGCCTGGTCCCCAGTGGGGGACGTGTAAGAGCCAACCACACACTGATGTTTCCCTCGCTTTCTCCCTCCCTTCCCCTGTCTCTAAAAATAAAAAAGACAAATAAAAAAAGAACACTAAGACAAATAAAAAAAGAACACTAAGACAAATAAATGAACACTAAGTTTCAAGCGGGCACCCAGCTAGTCTGAGTGCCCCAACTATTGGGATTTTAGGGGTTTATGCTTGTAGCCAGCTTCCAGGTTTTCCCCTCCTCCACCCCTCTCCAGACCTTGGGATTTATATAGTTTCAAAGGCTTTGTTTCTCAGATAGTGAAAACCACACAGACAGAATTTCAAGGGCTCTCTCCTCCTCAGCTATTATGGATTTACTTGTGATTTTTCAGAACACCTGGCAATCTTGTTATCGCACAGGGGCCAGTCCCTGAGTGGGTCTGCCTAGGGCCAGCTGTAGTGTGTGGGTTCCTGACTGTGTAGGAAAGATTTCACAACACGAGTCCAGGTGACTAGGAGGATACATGTATTAAAACTGGGGACAATGAAACAAGGAAAGTCTTAGCAAAGAAGGAACAACAAGAGAGCCTGGGCTGGGCAGCCGTAGCTCCCTGGGAAGTCGGAGAAAAGGGGACCTTGTGAAAGGTCAGAGGATCAGCCTGGGACAGGCTTCCAGCTGCCCCTTGCCTTGGAGTTTAGCAGACGCCTGCCTGTGGGGAAAGAAGGGAGGGAAGAAGGGAAAGGGAAGGGCATG